TTTGAAGCACGCATTTCCTGGTTCACAGCTCTCAGACACCACAGTGCCCAACTCTTTAACCAAGCCTAATGAAAACTGTTTTACTCACTGCACTTTAGTCTGTGCCTCTACCTGAAACATGCAACTGCCATGACAAATGATTTGCATTAATATATTATTGGATTTCATCCCCAGCGGAGAGCATTACTTTCTGTCCAGTTCAATGCAGCGTTACAGTCACTGAAATAAATGGTTTTAGCAGCTGCAGGTACAAACAGGCTTATGACTCTTTTAAAGAAAACGAGGCTGCGATCCTATACCCACTTACCCAGGTGTAATGCCAGGACTTAATTTTGAGTAGACACATACAGGAATTGCACTGTAAAACAGCCCAGTATTTACTGCTGATTGGTTACTGTGTTATGATAATTTCAAACAAACTTTGAACGGAGGGAGATATCTCAGCTGGTTAGAGCGTGGTGCCAATAGTGCCAAGGTTGCAGGTTTGATATCCATATGGGACAGCTGCATATTCCTGCATTGCAGTGGGTTGGACTAAGTGATCCTCAGGGTCCCTTCCAATTCTCTGATTCTAAATCCCAATCAGAGACTATGCTTGAATAGCTGGCCAGAACTAAATATAATTATAGTAAAGGTAAAGGTACCCCTGCCCGTACGGGCCAGTCTTGACAGACTCTAGGGTTGTGCGCCCATCTCACTCAAGAGGCCGAGGGCCAGCGCTGTCCGGAGACACTTCCTGGTCACGTGGCCAGCGTGACAAAGCTGCATCTGGCGAGCCAGCGCAGCACATGGAAATGCCGTTTACCTTCCCGCCAGTAAGCGGTCCCTATTTATCTACTTGCACCTGGGGGTGCTTTCGAACTGCTAGGTTGGCAGGCGCTGGGACCGAGCAACGGGAGCGCACCCCGCTGCGGGGATTCGAACCGCCGACCTTTTGATCGGCAAGCCCTAGGCGCTGAGGCTTTTACCCACAGTGCCACCCGTGTCCCTAAATATAATTATGGATCGGGCTAAATAAAAAGGTCAGTGCTTCTAGATGGGAGTTTGCTTTGGGATTGGTACTCCACTCCTCATGCAAGGGATTTTGGGGGGAATATTTTGCAGCAAATTAAGTCCCATTTAGAAGCCACCCCCTGCATTAATATTACATCTGTGTTTCTAATGCTATCAATAGTGTCCAGAAGAAATATGCAAATTACAGGCTGGTCTTCACTGACCCTAATTCAATTCATTGACGCTATCCCTTTATGTATTTATTTATTTTAAAAACACTATAAAACTATATTTTTATATAAAATATGGTAATGAAAATAAAAACATCTCTCAAGCTCACCTTTCTGTGGGCCAGCATTTACTTGTTTAAACAGGCAAACATGGTTTCATTATCAAGCAAAGCAGCAATTTAATACAGCAAAATATCAGTTTAATAGCCAGCAGAAAATGTTTAGCTCTGTCCTATTATTATTTGTTTAAACATGTATACCTTGCTTACAATCTCATACTGATATGACACTTTTTTCTGCAAAATGCAATATAACAGATGGTGAATATAATGTTACTTTTACTTCCAGCAATTGGCCAAATCTCTCCCCCCCCCATAGTACTCTTTTATTCCTATGAAGCACAGAGTATACTTTTAAGTGAGTTTGTTTATTTATTTTAAATTCCGTGTTTGTACTAGTAGAAAACTAGTGTGCTATTATATTTCTGAGAGCAGGGCTATCAGGTGTGGCTTGCCTAAGAAGACACTTGGCCAGAATCTAGGACTTGACAAAAGAGAGTTAACAGCACATCATATTCAATTGATATGTCTCTACTGGGAGCTAAGGCAGTTGAAAGAGAGGAGGCCGACACCTTGACCCCATTCACCTGGTTAGAAGGGAAGGGGAGAAAGGTGTGGCCAAGCTTTCTGATAGTGGAAAAAACACAGGGATTGTTAAAGGTCACAGCCACACCATCTGTTTAAAGCACTATTTACTCCTTTAATAGTCATGGAGAATCTGGGGAATATAGCTTGTTGTTGTTATTACTAATAATTATTAATTCTCCTCCCTGCGCTCTAAGATCCCAGGGGAGGTTACAACAAGTTAAACTCAATGTTAAAAACAATTGCCACAGAGGATGCCCTCTCCTGGGTCAGGCCCCACCCCAAAGCTTCTGAGGGCAGTGGAACAAGTCCAAAACCTACTGCACATTGGGTAGACATCTTCACTGAGCTGGCCACTACAATGCTGTGACATTGTTCCTGGTCAGTCACTGCTGGTTCAGATCCCACAAGTATATATGTGAAATTCCCCCCCCCCCCAACATTCATCACTTTACATTTGTTTACACGGAATTGCATTTGCCATTTTACCACCCATTCACTCAGTTTTGGGGAGCTCCTTTCAGAACAAACATTTCTGAGCAAACAGGCAAACAATTGTGCTATAAGACTGTAATCCTATGCGCAATTGCTTCCAGGTAAGCAAGATAAGGTTGGACTGCAAGGATGCCAGCTGTTTGCCTTAAGGAGTTAAATGTTACTCTTGTGGCAGGCTTGGAGGGGGAAAAAGACAGGAATAACAAAAAAAGGAGTTAATGGTTATGACCAGTGCCGGATTTATATATAAGCTAAACAAGCTATAGCTTAGGGCTCCACTCTCTTGGCCTTCCCCCAAATATACTTCTTAATTGTATTTCAGTTCAACAATTACTTTGATAAAATATCTATTTTGTTATGTGCAAATGGCTTTAGATACCTACTAGGTCCATAAATTACCATATAGCATATATTCAACACAAAAAATAGCAACAATTTGTTGTTGACAAAGGACAGCTGGACATATAAAGGGCTCCGTTACCTTCAGTAGCTTAGGGCCTCATCAAACCTAAATCCGCCCCTGGTTAAGACTGCACATTTAAATACATTGAACCTAATAAGTGTTCTGCTGGAACAGATCATATACCCATGTAAACCACCATTCTGTCCTCGGCTTCACTACAGTGGCCAATGGGCTGCTTAGGGGAAGCCCCAAGCAGGACGTGAGTGAATTAGCCCTCTCCTGCCGTTTACCCTCTGCCCCAGCAGCTGGTGTTCAGCAGCATATGGCCTCTGATATTGGCGGCAATATATATTCATTATGACTAGTAGGTGTGGATAGCCTTATCTTTCTAATTCTCCTTTCAAGTTGTCAAAGCTGGTGGCTACCACTACATATTGTGGTAGGAAGTTCCACAGTTTAACAAAGCGCTTGAGTTTCACTTCTTCCTCCTTCCCAATCATTTTTCCTTTTGTGTCATGTAACTCTTTGTATAAAGATATAGCGGTCTGAACAGACAAATGGTTTCCTTCCCCTGTAAAGATGTTAACTAACTCAGCACTGCCATTTTTATTTTATCACTTAACACTGCTTCTGTGCTTATTTTCAATACATTCTGGCTCTAATTGAATTGTCAGTCCTTCCTGCATTTCATTTTCCTCTGACCCCAGTTGCTTACAATCCCCCTCCTTACAACCTTGTGTGCATGAATGCTGGAAGAATCAAGACAGATAAAAGAAAGTACATTGCTGGAACTTGGCTACTAGCCATGATATGTTCTGCCTCCACAGTTGGGAGGCTGCAGTCAGTGCTTCTGAATACCAGGTTGCTGAAAAACTCAGGAGGGTAAGAGTGCTCTTCTGGTCGAGTCTTTCCTGAGGTGATGGTTTCCCACCAGCATCTGGTTGGCCTCTTGTGATAACAGGATGCTATCACATGTGTCCCTGGCTTGATCCAGGAGGCTCTTCTTACATTCTTCTGTACATACACAGAAAAGTGGGCTTATGCCATAAGAAAAAGTTAGGTCTTTAAGGTGCCATACAAGGCTCTTGGTAATTTTACCTGGACTAACAGGGCTGCTACCCACCACACATTAATGTTATTTATCAATTATTATTTTCATCTGAGGATCACAGGGTGTTTTACAATGTAAAAAAAAAAAATACAGTCATACCTCAGGTTACAGATGCTTCAGGTTGCGGTTTTTTTTGGGATATGGACTGCCGAAACCTGGAAGTACCGGAATGGGTTACTTCCGGGTTTCGGCGGTCGCGCATGCACAGAAGAAGAGGAGTTTGGATTTGATATCCCGCTTTATCACTACCCGAAGGAGTCTCAAAGCGGTTAACATTCTCCTTTCCCTTCCTCCCCCTCAACAAACACTCTGTGAGGTGAGTGGGGCTGAGAGACTTCAGAGAAGTGTGACTAGCCCAAGGTCACCCAGCAGCTGCATGTGGAAGAGCGGAGACGCAAACCCAGTTCCCCAGATTACGAGTCTATCACTCCTAATCACTGCACCACACTGGCTCTCAAGCGCCGAATTGCAACCCGCACATGCCCAGATGTGCCGCTGCGGGGTGCAAATGCTGCAGGTTGCGAACATGCATCCCGCACGGATCATGTTCGCAACCCGAGCATCCACCGTACATACCATAGGAACAAACAAAACAACATTCTCCCTACAGTTTAATAGGCCATGGATTGTTTAATTAGCCAAAGGCCTGGGAGAAGAGGAATGCTATTGCCTAACGCCTAAATATATGCAAGGAAGGGGCTAGGTGAACCTTCCTGGGGAGAGCCTTCCACAAGCGGTGAGCCACCGCTAAAAAGACCCCCTTCTCATGTTGCCACCCTCTGGACCTCTCATGGAGCGGGCACAAGAAGAAGGGCCTCAGATGATGAAGTGGTCAGTTTTATTTGGGACGCTGTTTCTTAGCCATTGCCAACAGCAGCAGCAGCCGATTTCGTCTACCCAGCGGTGCAACAAGTGGGGCTTACTTGCGAGTAAGCATGCCTCGGATGGCGCTGCAAAACTCCGGCTATTACTTGAGGGTAAACCCCAGTGAAAACTCCCCTAAAGAAGGGAAGGGTGGTGCCGATGCGGCGTCTGGAGCGCACATGGCCCCGCGCTCCTCCCTCCTCCAAGGCAGCCCTCCTCCCCTTCGGTTCTACGGAGGGAGGAGCCGCGTGACGTCACGTCAGGGGCGGGGCCGAAGCGGAAGGGCCTAGCGCGGCGCTGGCCGCCCTCGCCGCCTCCCCGGTTGCGCTCCCGTCGTGGCCGCGCCGCCTTCGTCGCCCCGAGTAGCACGGAACAAAGGGAAGGAGCCGCTCCGGCTGCGCGATGGTGGGCATCCCGGGAACCTCCCAGTGTAAGGCGCGCCTCTTCTTCCCCATTCCGGGGGTTGGCGGGCCCCTCCGGCTCGAGCGAGCGAGCGCCGTCCCACCCGGGAGAGCTGCCCGCGGGGCCCCGGGCGGGGAGGGAAGGAGGACTTCGAGGGATGGGGCGCTTTCCTATTACAGTTCCGTTATGTCTTTTCCCTTTCTCCTTCTCCCAAACTCCCTTCTTGCAAGCGCTTCCTCTACCCCTCGCACACTCTTCTCCCCTTCCCAAGTCAGATCCTCCTCGCCTTCCCCTTCCTTATCACGCTTTTCCAGGAGGCTTCTTGGCTTCCCATCTGTGGTTCCTCCTCCTCCCCATTTCTTACTCCGTGGGCTTCTTATCTCCTGCAAGGTCTCGGGATGCTTTTTTCTCCACCACTCCCGTTGTATTTAACCTGGGGCCTCTTATGCTTCTCTTATTCGCATTTCGCTTATTCTTCTTAATTTCATGTACGGTACTGATCGTTTCATTGGGATTTAGAAGTGGCGCCTTCTGGAGGAGACCTTTAATTTCTTTCCATCTCCCTCTCTCTCTGTGCAGCTTTGTGTGTGTGTGGTGTCCGTTCGTTCCATAATAAGGGTGGTGGTAATGTTAAAATAAAAGTTATGTTTTTGAGAAATCTTAACCATTCCCCACGCCCCTGACTCTTAAAGACTAGTAAAGCTGCCCCTTAGTACTTTGTCTGCAATTTAAAGGATTGTTGCTTTGTTTTGATAAATAGCATACATAATAAAAGATGAATTTTTCTTTTTTACTATGAGTGCATCCCAGAATTAGAAAACTGGCTTGTAGTGGTGTTCTAATAGCTCTGTATTCAGTGGAACAATGTGTGCAGACCCAGCCGATGCAAAGTAGTTAACTAAAGTAATCATGGTCGCATAAGTGGATAGAATCTGCATGTTTTTACAAATGTATCCTTAGTATACAGAAATTGCATATGTGCTTTGGGGAAAGAAAAAGTATATTCATCACTGTACTGCCTGTCTTAATATAGGCTGTAGAATGGCTTTGCGATAGAAGTCATTAGAAAAAAGTAAAGTGTTAAATGTTGGATGTGGGACACACACAAGAAATGTGTTCTGCTTACAGTGCAATTTACACTGTAAACCTCACTATCTCATGTTATGGGTTAGGCCAAGGCTCTGATTTTTAAAGTTTGAATGTCAGGGATGGGGAACCTCTGGTCCTCCAGCAGTTGATGGACTCCTAGTCCCAGTCCCATCAGCCCTAGCCAGTTTGACCAATGGTCAGGGATGATGGGAGTTGTGTCTATGGGATGCCAGGGGTGCAGCTGACCCCCTAGATAAAGTAAAACAGTAGAAATACTTAACTGACCAATTCACATCTGTTTTGCCCCCTCCAACAAAAATCCTGGCTACGCCCATGGTTGTGTCCCTTCAGGTGATGTTGGGCTTCCCCATTGCTGATGTATATGGTTACATTAAATATTTTTTAGTGGCTCTCTGTGTATATGAGTGAGTATGTGTGAGTTTGCACTACTGAGGAACCGAAGAAGGTCAGTGAATGAGCAGTTGTGGAGAACAGGCAGGTAGGAAGAATACTCCTTGGTTTGGAAGGAACATGCATGTTGTTCAATGTTTTAAGGCCCATGTGTAGAATTGGGGGCTATACATCAATATGTTTTGGGCCTTCCTCTTGATCCTTTATCTTTGTCCCCTGCAGGAAATTGCTGAACTAGAATTTCTCAGTAAACATGAAGCTGTTTGCTTAGGTCTCAAGTCAAATGAGTGCTTTTATTTCTCCCACTACAGGTGCTAATAAGCATAACAAATCTAGGATGATCACCTGTTATGACTTTGAAATAGTAGCTGTTCATATCTTGTATGCCAGGGTTAGAGTCCATGCTAGACTTTCAGGATCTACTTTGGCTTTTTTTTTTTAACCAGAACTGTAAGATCCACCAGGTAGACCAGGTGCAAAATAGTGGTTTGGGCAGGCAAACATGCTCTTAAGAATGAAGGAATAGGGTGACACTGAACACAAGCTCAGCCTGTGAATTCACTCCTGGTTTTCCCCAAGTGTTATCTCTTTCAGCAATTTTTTAAATAGTTTTTTTTAAGTTTTAGTTTGTTAGTTTTTGTTAGACCATTGGAGTCAGAAATCCTTGCCTGTCTACTGTAAATTGCCCAGAGATTTGCCAGTACATCGACCCCAGTTCTCCACGCACTCCTCTTGTATACATTTAAAGTTGCATAAAATTGTCATAAACCCTCATGCACACACACTATCTGACAGTTGATGGTAACACTTCACACATCTGAGGAATGAGCTCTAGTCCATGCAAGTTTATGCCACAGTAAATCTGTTTGCCTTTAAGGGTACTGCTATATTCTTTGTTTTTGCTACAGTAGACTTAACACAGCTACCCCTCTGGAACTTCTTAGACACATTCCTAAGCACTGCTTTCTGCAATGCATTTTCAGTTCAGTCAAGTCACATCTGTTTCTCACTACCTTGCCTGTTCTGTCCCAACATCCACAAAAACATTCCCATTTCTGTTGTGGCTTGCTTCACCATAGTGTTTTTCTTTGTCCAGTATTCTGATCCATATGTTTTAAAATAGCACCCCCCCCCCGCCCCCATGCTATGCAGGAGAAATGTGTGCAAAGAGAATTCAGAGAATGGTAGTAAAATACGAAGTGTGAGAGATCCAACCATCTCTTTTTATCAGCAAATTTTCTTTTCAGGTTTGTGGGTGCTTCTATTATCATCCTAGTGAATTCATTTCACTTAAGGTGTGCACAAATACATTTGATGTTACTCTGTAACCCTCTTGTCACGCTTTTTGCACCACGGCTGCATTTTCTATATTTGTGTGCTTTCCACGTGAATTCTAACAGTTTTATTTCTTGTTAAAAAACGGTTTTCTCCCCTTTCATAAGTGAGTGGCTTGAGGCTCTCAGAGGTCTGATTATGCGCCAGTTTCTCTGTGGCATAGAGGTCTGGCTATTCTCTGGTGTTTTGTTTCTGTTGGAAACAAGATAGTGAACTTAAACTGTGGGTTTGATCCAGCCCTTCCTGTTGACTAGCAGATGGCTCCAAGTCTTCTTCGATAACCCCAGAAATATCTTCTGCAAGGACCATAGCCTAGTTTCTTAACCAACATATTAAAAAAGTGTATTTGCAAATGGTTCTAAGATGTTGGTGGTGGTGATGATTATAATAATGTTTAAAAATGCTGCAACCCCCTCAGTTGTTGCCAGTGTGGAGCTCTATTTCTCTGTGTCATCTGCGTTGGGTGAGGCTGGGCACATCCCGGATTACTGCTTGGACACATTGGTAGGCTGGATAAGGGCCAATAAACCAATGACAAGTCAATGGTCCTGTGGTTGAGGGCTTCATAAACCTGGCCAGAGGTTTTTCAACCTTTTTGGCTCCCTTGACCAACTACATTCTTTCTGCGGCACCCCTGTGGGACTCAGGAGCCCAATTATGTCACCCCTTGCCTGCAGAGCTGGCAACCTCTCACCCTTTTTCGGACACCCTCCCTTCCCTCAGCCTCCCCTCTGCTTGGGAGTCCTCTGAGCAGCCGCAGCTGTCGCCCCTGTCTCTGAGCTGCCCCCCTGCCCCAAAGAGAGTTGCCTCCTGACACTGCCCCACAGGGGCCTGGGAAGCACCCCTGGCCAGCCCATGAAGCACCATTCGCCTGGGGTGCAACAAACAGCTGTGCAAGCCTTTGGGAGGCAGAGATGCGAGAGGGCATCAGAGGAGGGAGGGAAGGAAAGAGGGGCAGAGGCACACTGGTTGAAAACCACTGACATAGGCTGTTCTACATGAGGTTGCACTGCCTCTGAAGTGGCAGGTGCATAGTTTGGGAGTACTCCTAGATCAAGCAGTATTACTGGAGGTTGAAGTGGCCTCTGTGGCTAGGAGCATCTTTTGGGATAACAGTTTTGCTAACCATGATCAGCAAGGTAAAGGTACCTCTGACCGTTAGGTCAAGTTGCAGACGACTCTGGGGTTGCGACGCTCAACTCGCTCTGTAAGCCGAGGGAGCCTGTGTTTGTCCGCAGACAGCTTCCAGGCCATGTGGCCAGCATGACTGAGCCACTTCTGGCGAACCAGAGCAGCGCACGGAAATGCCGTTTACCTTCCCGCCGGAGCGGTACCTATTTATCTACTTGCACTTTGACATGCTTTTGAACTGCTAGGTGGGCAGGAGCTGGGACTGAACAGCAGGAGCTCACCCCGTCGCGGGGATCCGAACCGCCAGCCTTCCGATCGGCAAGCCCTAGGCTCTGGTTTAGACCACAGCTCCACCCGCGTCCCTTGATCAGTAAGGTACTGACATTGTATCTGTGCACTGTCTTTCTTCCTGCCCCTTCCTCCTCCTCTTCAAATGGGCTGTGCTGCTTTGAGGAGTGGGAAGAAGAAAAACCAGTGAATCTTACTGGACTGTAATGCAGCAAAGGACATCTTTTTTTGCGTTGTGTTTTCCTGCTGAGGAAAAGGAAGCAATGTGTTATTTATTTATTTACATTTATATACCACCTTTATCTTCCAAGGATCTCAAGGTGGTATACATGATTCTCCTCCTCCCCATATCATCCTCACAACAACCCTGTGAGGTAGGTTAGGCTAAGAGACTGTGACTGGCCCAAGGTCTCCCAGGTCAAAGTCCAGTACTCTAACGATTATGCCACACTGAACCCTGAACTGAACAGAAGTTGGGAGGTATCTAAAAAGCTATCTTACCCAAAGCTATCTAATGGGCTTCAAAGCAGTGTGGGAATTGGAAATTCGGTTTCCTCTATCGAAGCTCAACATTCTATCCTCCTCATCAGACTGGCTTATTTATGAGCCTTTTTCTGGTGACTTATTACATTGTATTTTGGAAGAGATATGGAAATGTATTGTCCTCCCTTAAGAATGTGGGAGTAAGTTTGGAAGAACAAAGTAAATTACATTCTCTTAGGAGATCTGCTTCTTGATTACAATGAATCCTTATGCACTTGAAAAGATAATGCC